TAAACATTCCAGCGTTATCTGCAGGAAATGGCATTACAAGACCAAGATCAAGATGAGAAGCTGATGACCATATCCTCAGCCTGCATGTGATCTTCACAGGGGATTGATCTTTATATGTAAATGGCTGCGGATTCATGTTTTTCCATGGTGAAGATTAAAAAATGGACACGTGCACTAGTCCAGCCTCCAAGTTAAAACAAACTAGAAAGTAAGTTTGTTGGGAGAAACTTTTATGTTGGCTTGACAAAGCCTTTTCTGAATGTTGTATAAGCGTCCTAGCATATTATCATGTTGCTAACAAGTTTTAGCATTATTTTGCCTTTTGCTAACATGTTTGTAGCATGTTTTATTACATTGCTAGCATGAATTAACATGTTACAAGCATTTTTTATTGTGTTGCTAGCATGAATTATGTTACTAACATGTCTTACCAATTGTTATGTTGCTAGCATGTTTTAACACATTGTATGTTTTAACATGTTGTTAGCATGATTTAGCCTGTTTTACCACATTGCTAGCATGAATTAGCACATTGCTCTCATGATTTTGTATGCTTCTAGCAAGTTTTAGGACAAAAGTGTTGACCCTCTCAATGAAAGTCAATGGGATTCTTCGTGATTTTGATCGTTTGTTTAAACGAAAACCTTAAGTCCATTAGAAAAGGTATAAGCTAACTCGAGTCAGACCATTCTGAAGGTCTGACCCGAGTTTGGTGGATGTAGATTTAAAACTGATAGGCTACTGACTAAATTTTGTCTCATCAGAAGAAGAAAAAGAAGCTTAATTAGTAGATCAGTATTTTGGCTTTGTATCAAACCAACATAATAAATGAAAACAAGAAATCTTGTCTTTTAGTTAACTATAATAACTCTGTTTGGAACAAGGTCTCTGAGTGTGTGCCATAACCAGCAAAAACATCCAAAAGTCTCACTTCAAAAACTCATAAAAACAGAAAAATAATGTTACGTTCAAATTGGGTTCCACAGTGCCCATCCTACTCTCCAAGAATAGAATTCCCATTCCAGCATGGGCAGATCTGATTTTCCCATGATTCAGTGAAAAAATACTGCAGTTTTGGCATAGAGCTATGAGTTATTCTGCATGTGTTATTCCTCCACAACATATTCATATTACAGCACCACTCTCTGATTGCTGAAGAAAATCAGCATAAATGGGGAACTGATGAGAATGACTGTTTCCTAAGACTCAAATAATTAATTCCCACATAGATCGCTTGAGTTTATCTTCACAGATAGTCTAATAATAACTGATGCCCCTTGGAAAATCTCTTTTGACCTTCTCCACAGGGTCAAGTCAGAGGAGGTTCTTGACCCTTCCCAGCAGCGACTGATTCTGCGAGGAGCAGCAGAGATGTTCTTCAATTGTTACTTGTAAGTCTGTGAAAACTGGCCTGCACTGACCTACTCATACTGTATATGAGAAGAAGAGAGGGAAGAATAGCAAAGAAGAGAGATTTCCCTGATCTTGAGACGGCTCTTCCCAGGACTGTGGTGACCTCTCCTGGGATCAAAATTCTCCAGCCGGTTCCGGACACAAGTTCCATATCTGGAAATATATAATTGCTTCCTCAACAGATATATTCATCACTTTCTATAGTGATGATGCCACTTTGTAAAGAAACGCACCTATAGGCTGAACACTTAATATGCATGACGTCACCATTTTCACAAATTTGCGTTTTTGTTGACACGGATATGATAACAGTGTTGTTGTTTTTTTTTAAACGTGCTCTTTGAAACCTGTTTTCAAAAGTTTGCATTTTCAGGCCCCCAAAACGCCATTTGCATGTAAATGAGTGGTTAAACACATAAAAGGTTTTCAGTTTTTAGTTGAAAATGAAGTCGTGTAAACGGCCCCTTAGCTTCTGTTGTCTGGATTATCTTGTTTCTTTGCTTGGATTTACTTCTGTTATTTTGTTTATATAAACTTTATACTGCATTTGGATCCCAAGTCCTGTATTTACTAAAACAATTTCCTGTACAACTCTTTTTTTCCCCTTTTTTTTTTAAGTTGAGGGTAATGTGTTTTATTATATTTGTTATGAAGAAGAGATATCATTTTATTTCAGTAGTTTTAAAAATATTTAAACAAATTAAACTGAAAGTATACATGCATTACTTTTTAAAAAAAGGAACGTGTAAATTTAAATTTAAAAGTAATGCGTTACTTCACTCGTTACATGATAATAATAAACGTAATCTGATTACATATTGCACGTTACTTGTAATTCGTTACTCCCAACACTTATTAACAGGCAGATCTGACTTGCTTATTAGAAATCATTTACACGTATAGGTTGGCAAGTTCTATGTGCCTCGTTATATCAATTAAGTTTGAGCAATGATGATTCAGCATATTAAAAAAAGAACTGAGTGAATCAGATCAAGAAGTTTAATGTATAAACACGTTCATTATTTAGCTGACAACCCTGCCACAGATATTTGGGTTAACAACACAATATGCATGTTTGCATTATATTTTAGACATGTCAGCATTCAGTCCCATTCAGAATTTGTCAGTCAGACAACTTTTCGTACGATAAGGGTTAATGGTATGCTCATTTAGATTAGAATCTAATTTTGACTGCATATTCCACAATGGAATTGTATTCACCACATCATCAGTTTCACAGCCAGGATGCCCTGCATGGAATTCTGGGATATGGTTAAAGGGCAAGTTAGTAGCAAAGAACAAGAGTGTTTAGAATTTATGAGCAAATTTGCAAAGCTTATTCTGCTCTTTCCCATGGTAAGCTGAATGACATCACTGGCCAATACAGTGTCCATCTGCTGAACAAACCCACAGATGCAGATAAAGACACTGGCAAATGTTGCTACAGTGAGGTAATGTGGTGTGCTGCGATTGCACATTGATTCAGGACAGTGCTGCAGTCAAATCAACGTGAAACATTAACAGCTCTGTGTTACACACGACTCTTTTGGCACAAGTCATGGAAGCAATGGTTAGACCTCCGGTGACTGGATTCATCGCAGTGATGGCATGCGAGACTAATCTTGAGGAAAAAGCACACAGATGCCTTTCAATTAGGCAGTGATGCAGCCAGCCATGGTTATTATAGTTAGAAAGCTTATTCTAAGTAACTTTGCAACTACAACTAGCAGTCATTAGAGTAGACTGCTTTATTCTGATGCTCCCCAACAGACATTCTACTAAGCAACTACATGTCAACTTATTCTATTAACCCTAACCTAACAGAAATAAAATAAAAACTAAAATAACACTGGTGACAGCTCTATAAAGACAAATGATCATTGAAACCTCGGTGATCCATCAGGGAAATCATTATAGTGATTGCAAAAGACGTCCCTTGAAAGGCTTCAGATTATTATGCCAAATATTTTAAGGGTGTAGCCTACTATATATGAACTTAAAAAGGCCCATTTTAAAAGCATTAGCTTCTGTTGAGAAATTAGCATTTGGCTGCTGATCAATTGGCTCATCATGTCAGGAAGCGCCAGCAAGACCTTCAAAACACACACACACATGCAAACAAAACAGAGCAGCTCTTAACATAATGTGAAAATAGTTCTGATAATGTCAGAACATGGAGATGGTGTAACGTTTGTTGTCTTGGTTGTTGGAGGTGGAATGTGAAACAGATCAAACGGCTCTGCCCAGGGGCGCACTGGATCAGATTGCATTTTGGGTTGAGGCCCTTCATTCATTTGTGACATTTACAGTCGTTTTCAGCCCTAGCTCCTCAGCATCCCTAAAACTGGGCCCCTCGTCTTTCTGGAAAATCCCTATGAGCATGTGTCTGGCTCCACTTGTGTGTTCCACGCTGGTGGAGGAAACGGGCCAATTACGGAGGCAAGAACTCAGACGTGTATGATGTCATCGCGCTCTCTCTCTCTCTCTCTCTCTCTCTCTCTCTCTCTCTCTCTCTCTCTCTCTCTCTCTCTCTCTCTCTCTCTCACACACACACACACACACACTCCTAACTGTGCTGTAACAAATTGTTTTTTTATTGGCATCTATGGTTCCATGAAAGAGCTTTAACATCCATAGAACCTTTCCTTTGCACAAAAGTTTCTTTAGAATGGAAAAAGTTATTTAGATTATTAAAATGTGCTTTAAGAAAAACGCACAAATGATAAAATGAGAGATGTCAGCTCTCCTTTACTCCAGGTAAAGCCTAATGGTCTCCATCTTTATCACAGCTGTGTTGTGAAGCAAGACTGAAAGTTGTACCCATTTTCATAAGGGCATGATGGTTTGCACAGTGTCTTGCTGACCTCTGGTGTTTAAAACCGGATTTGCAGGGAGTTTGTTGCATATCAGGCAGATTTGCTTTTAAAGGGTAATTCATCCAAAAATGTGCAGGCTAATTACTTACCCTCAAATTGTTCCAAACTTGTATGAGTTTCTTTCTTCTGTTGAACACAAAAGAAGATATTTTAAATGTTGGTAACCAGACAGTTGACGGCACCCATTGACTTCCATAGTAGGAAAAAAATACCATGGAAGTCAGTGGGTTCAGTCAATTGTCTGGTTACTAACATTATTTAAAATATCTTATTTTGTGTTCAACAGAAGAAAGAAACTTATACGGGAACAACATGAGGGTAAGTAAAATTATGACAAAATTTTCATTTTGGGTGAACTATGCCTTTAACATCTGAATTTATACCATATAGTAAATAATTAAAATAGATACGAATACATTTTTATTATTTAGAACAGCATATGATTTTTTTTATAATTTATATAAATTATATAATTATATAATGTTTTTCAATCAGCATATCAATTAACACGAAATTTAAGAAAATCCTCATGTAGATAATATATTAAAGATAATATATTCAAACCGTTCTGAGAATATCTGGTTTATCTGCTGTCCATATAAAATCCTGGAATTTACAAACTGGTTTCTTTTACTGTCTAGGTTTGGAGCTGCAACAGCCAGTCAATTTTCTCCCGAGTCCATTTTCTCACGTTAAGAGACTTTTATTTTGAAATGTTATTCAAAAGTAATTTATTTGCTGCTGTTTTCACTCTTTCTACTTTACCGCGTTCATGCAGGACTGATTGAGAGGAAGTATGTATCAGACACATTTAAACAGAGTTTAGATGCAGTTTACCCATGAAACCTATATATTCTTTCGTGTTTTGTTTATTGTCGCCTGAGTTCTCCAGTGTAGAGTTTGCTAGGGAAGTATTTTACAAGTGCACATTGCCTAAAAGGCTCATAATGTAACTCAACATTACAGCTCGTTTACATGGATCATGGTGTTACATTCACAATTGTATAGTTTTATTTGCCTTCAGACACAAAACAGTCCAATCTTATTTCAGTCGTTCAGATGCCTTGATATTCATGATGTGCCTTTTGTTATAGTCTGTTTATGTTTTCTGTTTTATTACAAGAACTTATGGTGTAGTGGAGGATCTAGTGCAGATATGACCCCATCAAAGGAAGGCATGATCTCCCTCATCGACAAGACCATAAAGCTTAGGAGGGAGGAACAGGCAAGGCAGGTTGTCCTGGCATGGGCTGTGCTAAATATGTCTCTGGCTGGGATGATCTATACAGAGATGTGAGTTCATAGTCATACATGTTAAGAATTATAGCCCCTAATCTGATAAGTCTTCTGAACCACATGTAACCAAGTCACCTTGTCTTTTAGGTCTGGAAAGCTTCTTAGCAGATACTATAACATAACTTACTGGCCCATCTGGTATATTGGTAAGTAAGCATATAATAATATCTCAAAGGGTGTCACAGACACCCATATGATCATCCTCATGTGATGGACCATCATTAAGTATATTTCATTTAATCTAACTATGGTTTTCTTGGACAGAACTTGCCATGGCTTCCTTGTTCAGTCTCAATGCGCTTTTTGACTTTTGGAAGTATTTCAAGTACACTATGGCCCCAACCACAATCGCCGTTAGTCCAGAACAGCATCAACTTCTTGGACTCCGGGGCTCAGGTGAGTTATTTGGCATCTGTAAGAACGTGTTTTGGGTAAAAACAATCATGCATAATGCTTATTTCTCATATCAATGCAAAGACAACAGATATAGTTAATTCTTGCATACGTTTATAATGAATTGATTTAAAGTCGAGATGGAACGGAAGTTGCAATAGTCTTTTCTTTCCTATCGTGACACGTGACCGAGTGAAACGGCTTCTCGAAGAAGAATAAATGTTGGACGGGACTTGATTTTGTTCATCGGTAATTGATTGGATGGTTGTGGTTTGCTATTGGTCGATCTCATGTGAGTGACAGGTTGTCCCGCCCTCACGCCAGTAAACACGTCACCAAAGAAGAGATGTCGCCGCATAAGGGAGGGGGAAGTTATTTTGATTACAGACTATTAGAGCACATGGAAATTACAAATAATGAGATACAAATGACAATAACAGTCCTTTAAGTTTTTCAAGTACAGTAGGTCTATAACAGTATCATTCAAATAAGAAATACAATGTTCAAATGCATAATAAAAATGATTTTAATAGGGATTCAAGCCTCTCCACCTCAGAAACAAGAGAAAAAAGAAGCTCCTGTATCAGTCCAGTCATCGCCCCTGCAGGGACAGAATGTACTCAGCTTTAGTCCTGCTCGACCCTCAAGCACCAGCCCCAAGTTTTCCCCCAGCTGTGTGTCTGGGTTCAGTCCACCTCTGAGCAGCCCTTCTTCAGCAGGAGGACCCTTTTCGCCCTCCATGGCATTTGGCAAGGTTGAGTATTCTGAAATGCTTCATTAAAACTGTGTTGTCAATATTTTATTCTGTTCACGCACCCACTGCATTTCCCTTTTTATGTCTGTAGGTGCTGAACTATAGTCCGAGTTCTTCTCCGTACCCAAGCAACCTCGGGCCGGCAGAAGGCACCAGTCTCCGTGCTCGTTACCGCACATCCCCATCCGTCTTTAATTCACCCGGAGGTAAGGAGGACTACATCGATGACCTAAAGACTTTGGAGAAGTTTTTGCGTACGGAGGAGGAGAAAAGCCACCGCAGTCAATTGGGTAAGAGGCCTGCATGCACATAAAGGTGTTGAATCAAACTGTGGCTGTGCTAAGACTTCGGCATTGCAATATTTTCTTATTTAGGAAGTCCAGAGTCAACATCTCCAAGACACAGTCCATCGTTCTGGAACTACAGTCGTTCAGTGGGGGATTACGCACAGAGCCTGAGGAAGTTTCAATACCAGCCGGCCTGCCGTTCACAGGCACCATCTGCCAATAAAGACGACACAGAGCTGGGCTCCAAACAAGCTGCTGAAGAGGTGAGAATGAAAGGAATAGCAAAATTTCAAAGCATCTTTGTTTATATTCATTTCAAAAACAATTTCTTTAGTGTTTTAAAATGAAGAGATTTATTACAGGTCTGGGCAAGAATCACAACAAGTCGTGTGGTGACGGAAAATATTGACAGCTGGACTGCTAAGCTGAGAAATGTGAGTCCATCCATCCTAAATTGTCCAAAAATTTTCATCCATCCATCCTAAATTGTCCAAAATTGCCATCTATCCATCCTAAATTGTCCAAAAATTGTCGTCCATCCATTCGAAATTGTCCCAAAATTTCCATTCATCCATCCTAAATTGTCTAAAATTTCCATCCGTCCATTCTGAATTGGCCAAAATTTCCATCAATCCGTCCATCCTAAATTGTCCAAAATTTCCATCAATCAGTCCATCCTAAATTGTCCAAATTTCCATCCATCCGTTCATCCTAAATTGTCCAAGATATCCATCCGTCATAAATTGTCCAAAATTTCCATCCATCCTAAATTGTCAAAATAAATCCAGCAATCCGTCCATCATAAATTGTCCAAATTTCCATCCATCCATCCGTCCATCATCAATTGTCCAAAATTTTCAACCATAAATTGTCACTCTTTTTCTCTATCGACTTATTGCAGTGGATAAATGACACCATTCTAGTTCATCTGGTCAGAGAGATGGACTCTGTCAACAGTCAGCTCAGGAGGATAGGCTGCCCTGAGCTACAGATCGGAGGTAATCATCTTTTCTTCCAAAGATATTGAATTGTAAAAGTTTGAGCTTACTTCATTATGTCTCACTTCTGTTTTCCTTGTTTCACGAAGAGGCCAGCATCAGCAGTCTCAAACAAGCTGCCGTGGTCAAAGCCTCTGCAATTCCCACCCTCAATGCCATCGTACAGTATCTGGACGTCACACCAAACCAGGAGTATCTTGTGGAGAGAATCAAGGGTGAGCAGAATACACAATTCACTGATATTATCAATTGCGCTTAAACATTATAAATATTTCGACTTGACATAGTCCAATATCATGAACCAGGATGATGCCCCTGTGTGTTCATTTGTATCACTGCTCTTGTCTTGCAGAACTAGCCCACAGTGGCTGCATGAGCTCTTTCCGCTGGAACGGAGGAGGAGATCTGAAAAACCGCAAATGGGACACGGACCTTCCGACAGACTCTGCTGTGTGTTCTTCCAAACATTTGCAGCATTGTTGCATTACCAATGTATTACAGTTTAGAGGAGATCAATAATATTTGTAATGATGCAGTGCATTTATTTTCGCTCTACACTTTACACAAACACTTCTGTGCTCATCAGATCCTGATGCATGTGCTGTGTACATACCTGGACTCACGGCTCCCGCCACATCCTAAGTATCCTGACGGAAAAACCTTTACGTCCCAGCATTTTATACAGACACCAGATAAACCAGGTATGCTGAGACATTGTTGCATTGAGTTTTATACAGCATTTTTAAAGAGTTAATGTTTTATTGTACTTGTTCAACTTGCTTTAGTGTGTAATGTTGCTGTTTGAACATGAAAAGGTCTGCAAGTTCCAAAGCACAATGTCCCTCCAAAGGGGGTTCTTCTCTATATCAGTGTGCACTGAACTCCCTGAAACGCCTTTCTTCCAGGAACAAACAGTCACAATATATTAAATATTATATTATATATTAAATAAATCCTGCCCAAGGCATGCACAAAATATGGTGCGAGGCCTTGTTGAGTTAAGTTAGTAGGTAAACTCGCGGTTATGGTAAGAGGTGGGACATTTCCCAAACACACTCGATCACAACACTTTGGTCCAACCGACCAATCTGAGCACATTGCACTTTTCAGAAGGAGGGGCTTCACAGAGACAGAAACTAAACAGGGGTGCCCAAAGCCAACTATGGTCGCAAGTTCCGTCGTTATCAATAGAGTTCAATGGAAATTGCGATCATAGTTGGATAACGATGCTTTCGGGAAACGCACTCCAGAGCTGTACTGACAGACTGGGAAGAGGTGCTGCAACAATGTCAAATATGACGTTTTTTGTGTGAATTTCTAACAGACGTGTCCAATGAGAACCTGTTCTGCATCCATCAAAGTAGCACAAACCCTCCTCATTTTCAGCTCGTCTACCAGGGACACGTCTACAGCTTGCCCAAGGTGAGTTGATACTCTCCAACCATATTTACAGTGAAGGAACTCTTCTGTTCTTGTGACTTATAATTTCTTCCCCCCTCCCCCTCTCACAGGGCAGAAATAACTTGTTCCATACCATCCTCATGTTCCTCTACATTATCAAAACCAAGGAGTCTGGCATGCTGGGGTGAGTTTAGATCCATCATATTATGTCTGATCTGCTTGTTGTTACATTGAAGTGCGAAATGGATGAAACCTTTTCCACACTTTTTTTGCAACAGGAGAGTGAATCTCGGTCTTTCAGGAGTGAATGTACTCTGGATCTTTGGGGACTGATATGGTCATGTTTGCCGCTTGGAGGAAAACACTGCACAAGCCTTGAGATGTGATAGACTTTTTTACCTTTACATTCTTGTGATGTTGAATGTTTTTGAGATGCATTGTACATGCAAACTTGATGCAAATACAGATTAAGCACAGAAAGTCGTTTTAGCTGAAGAAAATGTTTTAAAATTCGACGCTGAGATATTTGGAGTCAAAATAGACCCTTGTTCCACTGAATTTTGTAAAAATATTTTTTTGTATTTTTTGTTCATCATACAAGAAAGACAATGTAGTTCTACATGAATGTAAATTCTTCCAGGCTAGTCAGAGTGGTTGGCCACTGCAAGAGTTATATGATTTTTAAAAGTAGTTATTGGTTTTTCTTCACCCTTTCTTTTCTGTATGAATGAACACCTGTTACAACCATACAACCATGAACAACAACAAGACAAATTTACTTTTGGTGTAATGATGTTCATTAACTTGCTCTCAATGAAGGGCTTTTCTTATTTCTTCTCACTATTACTTTGACAATGTACAGAAGAGCTTGGTGGATAGGTGATCCTGATCTTTAGTGCCAAATTACATAAACAAGTGTTTGTTTTTTCTATCGTGTCTGAAGTGAAACATGAAATGAAATGAGCTTCCACTTTTGTCTTTGGTTTTCAATTTAATAAATGCCCAGCAATGTTCTTATATTTATCACTCCATAGCCTTGAACTCTATTCCTTCGGTTAACCACTGGATGGTAGTGCTGCACTCCTACGGGTGATTATAAATGATAGGAACACAAGTATGTGCTATTTTTATAGTATTTGCAGCTTCACCAGTTCTATAACTGGAGTTTCCTAGAATGCCAATATGAAATTGCTTTATAATGTTCATGCATAAGGTGTGAGAGAATATAAAAAGTATTTTAATGAGCCTCCCAACAGTGGTCAAACTGTTCCAAACCTGGTACAACCATGCTATACTTTGAATTAGTAGATCATATGGTAATCCCATGGTACTTAATAATTACCATGTAAATACCATGGTACATTAACATAGTAATTATTTTAGTACCATGGTATTACCATATGATGTAGTACTACTACTACAGTAGGCAACTTTTGTAAATGCAAAGTAATGTTTGCCAGAGTTTGATAACTTATAAATCTTATAGATAGTATAATAATAAAAACCTATAATAAAATATATTTTTTAATGGTAAAAAGGTATAAGTCTTAAAAGTATAATAATATTGTTATTTTATTATAAGATGATTATATAATGTCGTTTTTGAAAGATTTCTGTTACGAAGTTTTAAGAAGTCTATCTCCTGGAAAAAAATCGTTATTATTACTACCACTGTCGTTCGTTCACTATTATTAACCATGCTTAACATTATGCGTAGTAGACGCTATGGTAACGTAAACTGCATGTCCCATGGTGCTTAGCGCCGAGCGTCATCCCACCGTGCGTATCCGTTCGTGTGTCGCTTCTCTCTGTATTGGAAAAAGAAGCACCGTGCGGTTCGCAGCGATGTCAGTCCAGGCTGTGGCAGTGAAAATGGCCGAGGTCGAATTAAAAGACGTGGCCGGTAAAGACTCTCTCCCCGCCATATCTCCACTGACACCCAAGGCAGAGGAGAAGAAGAGTGAAAATAACTCAACTTCGTCACCAGCAGCAGCGGCCGCGGCGGGGGATCCGAGCCCGGTGACCGCCGCTCCGAACCCCGTGAAGATGCCGCAGGCGTCCGCGATGAAGCGGCCGGACCAGCAACAGAACGGCGGCGAGGCGTTTGTCAACTGCGATGGCACCGTGGCCGAGGCACCGCGAATGAAAAAGGTAAGTTAACGTGAACTGTGATGGAGCTCGTTTTGTACCGTTCATCCGCTGCCGTGTGTCATTGTGCGGCGATAATTCTGGCCTATCAGACCTATACTAGCACCGTAACAGCTGTAAATTCACATCAATTTACCTCCCAGCTGTCAGAGGATGATCGGTGACAGATCTACTGAGTACTTTCCCTTGGTTTTTGATCTGATCACGTTGATTTTGAGCGCGTGAGTGATTGTTTCTAATGATTGAAAGACCCGCAGTGCGCGTGTCGTGGCGCTGCAGTGCATGCGTTTTATCCGGGGCAAAACATTCAGTTCCCAAACATACGGTGTACAACACTTTTATAATAACTTTAAAAATTAGGTCATTCGCAAACATTGGCTAATGCTTTTTAGATAAGTAGTTGATGTGCATCTCAACATGCATGTAGCCATTTAATTTTTCATTGCGCTTTAAAGGTATTGTTTGATTGTACACGATTGAAGCCATGTTTAATTAAATGATGATTGTTATGAGTGATTTTGAAGTGTTACCCAAGTTTCTTTATTAAAGTATACTGTAGTCCCATTTGTGCCATGGTCATTTTCTTTGGATAAAAACACTGTGAGAAACCTACAGATTTATCTTGTATTTGTAGGTTGTGATTAGCTATGAATTGATTTTGCTGTTGGTTATAATGATAGACTTTCTTTCTCTTTTGCTACATTAGCCAGTGCTTTCTCTGTCGATGGTTGGCATGTAGACATTAATATCTAGTTTTGCTTTTCACTTTCAAAGAAGAGAAAGGTATTGTTTGAGTGTATGTAAGTCAGTTTTGTGGCTTTTGTTGAAGAATACTGAAGCAAGGCCATTAAAATGGTTGATGTTTGAGTTTTCTGTTATGATTAGGTTGCTTTGTCCATGTGTCCTCATTGACATGTCATCATGCCCTGCCATTTGACTTTCTGAAATAAAGAAATGCAATTTCTGTTTCATGTTCAAAAGCAAGGTCAGACTTTCTCTCTCTTCAAACATGGGCTACTTTTGGTTCTCTGTAATTGCATTTTTTTTTAAAGTGTGATATAACTTCAGAAATGTCAGTCTTCTATTATGTGTCAGTGGGAATGACACCCTGCCAAGACTGTGCCGCCTCTTTCTATCGGAAGCTTTGAGTTGCCAGGGATAGATTGTTATTAGGGGAATTTGCCGGTTCTCTTAGATTTTACTCTTATCTGCCTTGACCGTTCCTTGGAAGGACTTAAAGCAGACTGTTCTCTTAATGAATTTCTTATCAATAAAAGAATATCTTTATTATCTCATCTTAGCTGGCAATGGCAAACAGAAGATGGTGTACAGTTCAAGGATAAAGATTTTGATAAAGAAATTATTAGCCAAGGATTTGATTCAGAAATAGCCATAACATGACATAGTAATGGCAAAATCGGGATGTGGTCTTATATATTCATTATATATTCATACATTCATCCCATTTTTTTCAAAAAAAAAAAAAAAAATCCTAAAATCTTTCAATGAATTTAAGGTGTAGACTCATAGGAGCCAATTCCTGTGTGAAAACCATTCTTTCACAGTTTGAGCCTGATGAATCGTAACATTGTCATCCTGGAATATGGCCATATGTCTTCCTTCGTGGTTGTTTAAGATATGAAAAGCTACACACTCCAAAAGAAACATAATAATCACTGCAATAATGTTGTAGGCTAGTTATAGACTCTTATATTTGTCTATTTAAATCCAAACAGCGACTTTTTGTTTTTGCCCAGACAGTGTATATAAAGTGCACACTGTTGGCTGAACTGTTATTAGAAGTAGCCTATAACTCTGGACCTTTTCTGTGGACAGTGACAGATGATAAACCATAGCGCGTTTAGATAATCTGAAGAGAGACTCTTATGCCTCTCATTTATCCTAAATGTGCTGGCGTGATGCCAATGCACTGACTTTATCTGCCCTGTTTCTAAGAAAAAAACATCTAGTCAATTTAACCACCCATAAAGCATGCTTGCTGTTCCCCCATAAATGTGCCACATCACACCGCTGTGGCTTGTGTAAAGTGGCGAGAGGAGGGGGAGGGCAGTGACTTGTCTCTCTAATCCATGCCTGTCTATCACCACATCATGTAGGTGCAAATGGCCTGTAGTTTGACTCAGGATTGTTGTGATCTCAGTGAAAATTCACACGACTGGATTTGAGGGTGTTGAGGGGAAACGGGGTGCTAATAGCTGGTGTTACTCTGGCATCAGGCTTGAGCTTTGTGCATACCTTGCACTGTTGTGACGTTATGTCACTAAGCTATGGTTCCCAGGATGCTTAGACCTAACAGGCTTATGGGGGAAGCCCTGTACGTGACTTTTACGTGTGGTACAAACTGGGGGAATGTTCCAGTAAGTTATATATAGGTGATTTATTTATAGAATAGGATTAGTTACAGTTAATAATATGCAATGGTGTAGCTTAAATAAGGTTTGTGATAAGATTCAGACTGATGAGATCAGGAAAAGTTGTTTTTAGAGCAATATAAATGTAGGCTATTTCCCAATTGACCTGTGATTTTCACAGAAAGTAGGCCTCATGTGTAAATCATATATAGCCTACCGGTCAAGATGGGGCTTGTGGAGGCCAGCTGCTACTTTCTTCAGCTATAAGCAGTATTGCTATTGTTAACCAAAACTATTCAAATAGTTTTTGTTCATTGAAATAAAGCTAATAACCCTAAATATAAGGGTTACTCTTTATTTTTAGGTATCCTTGTAACAGTTAAGTTCTGAGTAATATTAATTTAAAACATGTACACTATAGCGTTTCGTTTCACAACAGACTGGGCTCGTGGAAAGAAAGGGTTAAAGAGACTGAATCTTCAAACAAATCATTTTCAGACTTTTTGAGAAATGAGGTGATGTGCAGTGTATATTATGACAAAATTAAAGTGATTTTTGACCTTGGATGCATGCAAACCTATTGCTGGAGACTCCAAAACTACATTGGTGATATCTAATCTTGCTGATATTTGTGAAATCAGATCGAAGGTCAGATCGACATGCAGACACCACTCGAACAAACTTTGTTTACTCCTCCATTTTTCTTTCAGAAGGGTTTGGAATATTTTGCTTTGAAATCAGGGTCAAGGAGACATGCTGTGCATACTGTGATTTGGTCCATGTCTCCGTTCCAGTTTGCTCTGTACCAAGTTCCTCATCATCGCTCACATGAGCAGTTGACAGGAAAATATTTCTCACTATGGTGTGAAGTTTGGAGACTGATTAATGGTGGAATGGAACCTGGGAGACTGACCTACACGTTGAACCTGCTTCTGTTTATCTGCACTCCGTAACTTGGATTCATGTGGGAATGATAACAGGCCTCCAGGAAGGCCTGTGTCACCATATTCTGTTTATGCTACTTATTGTCTTTTAAGAGCTTAAGAAAAAGCACTACACTTGTGATTAAACAGAACTAGACGTGCTCTCAGGTAAGTGGCGTTTACGTGGTGGTCATGGAGGCTGAAGCTTTGAACGAGGGATGTATACATTGAACTGCATGTTTTGTGCTGAATACTGATAACAGTGCACTCACTGAATCATCTTCTCTTGCTCTCAAACACTCATCCATGACTTGGTGTCCTTGGCAGCAACCCTAATGGTGCACTTCAACCGGGACCAGCTAACACTTTAAAGGGCACAGCTGAGAGTTTTTTCCCTCAGGCTGCCCTAACCACACCGCAGCAGGATTCGTTCACCTGAAATCACCCAGAGTCTTCTCAAGTGCCTTAATGACGCTGTGTATTGCGGAGGCAACGGTGAGAGCGAGCCAGCCAAACAAACACAACTGTGCCAGCTCACTGCTGCTTCTTTCAGGAGGATGTGTGACAGACTTCTCTCTCCCGCTCTTACCTTCTCTGTCTCTCCTGTTCTTTTTTGTGCATATCAGGGCTTTACATGTGTTCCAGAGTTGAAACACAAATAACAATGAAAATAGATAAAATAGTGTTTTGCGCACATCACGACATTGATGCTAAAACGATATATCGTGCAGTTCTAGTCTACTTTAAACTGTGTGTGCATAAACAGATTTTGTCAATACTAGTAAAATCCATATATTGAATGTGCTATAGTCACCATGAAATCAAAATTGACAGTTCCTATTTTTTGTAGAATATTGCCATATTTATTATAAAAGTGTTATTCAAAATCTATGCACATCATTATTATTTTTTTTAATTCATGTTCCTCGTAATTTTTCATTTAAAATAACTTCCCTCTTGCAGCACCTTCTCTTCTCTGATGACGCGTTAACTGGCGTGACGGCGGGTCATCCTGTCACGCACATGAGATCCACCATTGGCAAACCACAACCATCCAATCAATTCCCAATGTACAAGTCCCGTCCTACATTTCTTGTTCAAAAAGCCGTTTCACATACGTCACAATGTTACAATATAAACAGCATAAATTAAACATTGTCATAATTCATCAACAGTAGATAATAAGCAATTTATTGGCGTAAATGCTCAGTATTCATTGATTGTGAACTGCTCTGAAACCCCGGGTCTTTCGAACGCGCAACAGCGTTGTGTTTTGACTTGGAACATGCAGTGCTCACATTTAATTAAATACCTGCCTTTTGAAGTTTAATAATGACATGATTCACGATTTCTGTTTTTACATCCCCACATTTAAGACCTCTTAAAATGACAATTCAGACATTTGTTGTACCATTTAAGATATTTAAAACTTTGAATGACCTTCATTTCATAAATTAAGCACATTTCCAGGACCCGCAGGGACTTTTTAAAATTCACACGTGCTCCTAAAAACATTTTACAATTTGCACACACATATTTTTATTCACAAATGCAAGTGAAACTGTCACGCCCTGGGTAAAAAACATTTTGTTTTACTTTCTCAGATTGTACATTTGGAGATGTGCTGCCATATGTTGCTTTCATTTCCCAGCAAACCTGCATAAGAGAAAACAGTTTCTGGCTTGATAAGCCGATGGAGTCAAATCTG